TTCCCTATTTGATGGAGATGTAACAGTTAACTTTGAAAATTCAAACGGGCACATGATACCCATCGGAGAGGAATCTACCCGAGAGGAAAATATAGTAAAATCTGAAGAAGGTAATGGCTCTCTAGCTGAAAAAGCACCACCTCTGGAGGAAAAGGCAGAAGAGAAGAAAGGTAAAATCAAGAGAAACCCCTCATTCTTTTCCTTCACCACAGCTCGATGTCAGGAATCGGGTCTTAGGCTCCAAATAGTGATGTTAAGACCAGTAGAGAGAAAAATGTGCAGACACACAGAGGAGAGAAATAATAACTAGTGAAGAGAAATTGGAGAGTCTCCTCAAGTAGATGCATCCATTTTATAAGCACATCATTTTAATTTTTTATTAAAGAGGGCTAATTACCGGTAACAATCAGATGGATGGCCTCTTTAGTGATTAGAGATGTCTGGGAATATTATCTTTTCCTCAGGAGCTTTTTCTCAGTATCTTCTTTGGAAAAAAAAATGCCAGCATTCAGAACATCTTTCTGTGCTGGTGAGACGTGGCCCCTGTGAGCAACTCAGCTCGGAAGTGAAGGTGTGGTTGGTGCATCCACACATCCAACACTGTAGGTTCTAGTCCAGGTTCTAGAAATTTCTGAGAGAGACTCAGGAATTGTCCCCAGAGATGCTGAGGATTTGGGTTGCTGTACTGGCCTAGCTTCTGCTCAGTGATTTGTCTGTGCAATTGGAAATTTCAGAATATACCAGAGGCGATTATGCCATTCCCTAAAGGCTTCTTTAAGACCTCGCTTTCTGGAGTGACTATGCTATGGTAGGTTGCATAATTGCAAAATTCATGTCTATCAAGGACCCCCAGAACATTCACAAGTTCCTAGTCACTGATTGATCGCTGCATACCACTGCTAGTACGTGCAGGCACCTCCAAGCCTCATACTTACGCAAACATAAACTGAAACTCCTATAAAGTAAGGCTTTGTTGGAAGTTCTAGATCCCATGCAGCATAAATATGAATCCTCAGGAAATGGACTATTTCCTTCTGTAATGTCTGCCTCTGAGTTGGTGGATGGCAAAAATTTGTCAAACCTAGTTTAGGTTCTGTAGGCATTTTGGGAACTCTTAGAATCTGCTGGAAGCAAACTTTTCTTCTGTTCTTGATCCAAGTCCTTTAAAGACAAAGAGAACAAAAGAGCAACCTGCAGACATTGTGACTTAAAAATCATCTACTCTGGAAGCCCATCACCCCTGTTATTTGTATGTAAATTAGCCTTTAAAAATTTTAGAAGCCTCTGGTAATAATCTGTTAGAAGTTTATTATTTTGCTTTATTCAATATTAAGTATACTATGGGACTTGTACTTAGTCATGTTTCTTTGAAGGACTCTGGTTAAGCTTATGAGTATTAATTATGAGAAATTAACTAACATTTTTCAGGATACTATTCCTGAAACCTAAAGAGAAACAGACCTAAATAGATTTTAAGGGGATTTAGTTGAAAGTATTACCACAAGTAGTGATTATATTTATTTTTTTATTCCAACTGTCCTGTTTCACCAAACTGTTACATTTCAAATCCATCTGTGGCCCGTGCCTTGTCCATCCTTTGTGCATTGAAGAGTTACATTCTTTATTATGTAACAGTGCCATCTCCGGTGCTCACTTGGTCCGTGTGGGGTGTCCATCAGTGGACTGGCCAGACTTCAAAGGAGTCTTATCAACCTAATAAGAAGTTGCTGACAGTTTTATGTTAATTAAACAAGCAGGCCTTGATGTTCTACAAAGATGATGGCAGATCTCATAGGTCCATGGATATTGGAGAGATGTTTTTGTTTTCTTATTCTTTACTCAGAATGAGTACAGTCAGTTCCTTTTGGTCAAATAAGGTCCAAGACAGCATCTTGCTTGGCTAGTCTGTACATAAGGACATGAGATGCTGGACATGTCGTCACACCCCTGTAAGACACATGCCTCCCTCCCCTATGCGGATGGTGCACCCACCAGAGCCCCTCTGGGAAGTAAAATGAATGTCACTCATAACTCACATCACAAAACATTAAGTTGAATAGGCAATACTTTAATGAACAAAGGTAACCATTTATTTCTCTGTAAAGGTACCATTTAATTCTAAAAACACCGCAAGATTCACTTTTATGTCTGCTTCTCTTCTGATCCCACTTCCTGTTTGAGCTCACTACCTTGCAAATCCACCATCCCAGGTTCTTAATTCACCCTTAATCTTGGGGTGCAGCGCTCCCTTTCCTTTCACAAGAACATTATTTATGCAACCTATCCAAGAGCATTATTTCATCTATTAATTGGTTATGTTTGTAAAACCACGTCATGTGCCTTTAAAGCCTGAGATGCTTGTATCTCTTTTTAAGACAGTATGTCAGTACTTTAGTATTTGAAACATCAGTGTCAAAAAAACAACAGATAACAAGTGGCCTTCACACTGCTCTGTGGGTAGGTTTCACCTCAGACATGTGGGTGGGTGCTCCTGAGGCTCCCAGAGACACCTGATTCTGGAGTTGGTACAGTAGTCTTGGACTCAACACTGGAGACTTTTCCCTGAAGACCTTCAGGGCTCCTAGTCTCTCATTAGTCTCTCAGCAAGGGCCCTTAAACAGAGAAGAGGCAGAAAAACTGATCTGCAATCCGTTAAATATAGCTTGGCATTAAATATGAGAAATCTGAAAATTATTGGATGTTATTTCTATTGAGGACTTTCAATGAAGTAACAAATGATGTAATGCATTTGTGCCAACATAATAATGAAGGTCTGCCATGGGTAAGACCCTGCTGGGGACCAGGAAGAGAGTGGTGAATGAGCAATGGCCTTTGCCTGCAAGCAGATCGTGGCATAGGAGGAGCCAGCATGTGGTACAAAGGGCCAACCACTTGAAAGGCCTGAGTGCAGCAAGTCAGGAGCTTCCCACGGGGACAAAAATCGGTCCTTAGGAAGATATTTCTAAACTAAGATTTGAAGGAGACAGCAGTCCGATGCAGGAGAAATGGGGGCAGAGGTGTAGTCTAGGCAAGACAAAGACGCATGCAGTTCTCAGATTTGCTCTATGTTATCGAACTAAACTCTCCACGTGGTGGAGGGAGCCAAACATGGAAGTACAGTAAACAGCTATCCTCCAGACTATTGCGTGAAACGGTGTCCTTGTCAAGCCAAAGGACAAGGCAGCCTTGATTAGTGAACCTCCTCTGGAAAAGATAATACGCATAGATTCCATCAACTTAATCATGTCTTCAGGTCATATGGCAGTAGTTAAAAATATAACTTGACTGAATTCATTATCTCCCAGATAAAAGGAGGAGTTTGTTTTCTAATGCATGTTGTTAATAACTGTCTGCTAATCAGTCACATTCATTGAATAGACATGATGTTTAAAGTGTTCTGCTTAAAATTTTAGACAATAGTCGTTTATAATTTAGTCAGAAAAGCATACTGTTTGTGTGTGCACCCCCCCCCCCCCCCCAGAATCACCACAGGGTAAACATAAACATGAGCCAGGTGGCAAACACACAGCGGTAATTGGTGGTGTTCGCAGAGAAAGGAGCGGGCCGTGCTTCTCCAAGAGCCGGCCGAGCGTTTGCGTGCACTGTGTTCATTTTCCACCCAGGAGGGATTGTCGTTCCCAAATGTCATAGAGCGAATCATCTCCTCCTTCCCAGACCCAGAAGCTGGGTTCTTCGAGGTATGACTTTAGAATTTAAAGCCATGGGCAGAAGGAAAACAGATCCCTCCATGCTCTGCCATGAAGGCAGAAGGGAAAATTGTGAGAGTTGGTGGTGTGAAAGGGAATAGAGAGAGTAAGTGTTGTCAGTCTGTTTGACTGGCTCTCACCAGACAATATTAATGGGCTTGAATTCTACACATGATATTATGCTAGGGGCTAACCTTCTAAAGAATGAAGAAGTACTTAAAGAACAGGCTTCTGCCCTACATCAAAAGAGTGGCAAGTCAATGTCTAGTTATATGTTTTATGTTAAAACTAGAGGCCTGGTGCATGAATTGTGCATGGGTGGGATCCCTCAGCCAGGTTGGTAATCAGGGCTATCTTGCCCAGTCCTGATTGGGGCTGGCCAGCTGAGGGGAGGGCCTGCGAGAGGTTGGCTATGGGAGCGCACTGACCACCAGGGGGCAGCTCCTGCATTGAGCATCTGCCCCCTGTTGTTTAATGTGTATCATAGCTACCGGCTGGTCACCAGGCCATAACGGTCGCTTAGGCTTTTATATAGAGGGATAGATGTTTTAGGTGTGCTTTAACTTGTGTTGTTCTCAAACCTAACTGACTTTTGTGATTCAGTGGCCTCCTGGTTCAGACCAGGTAGGTGAAGAGAGTCACTGCTCAGTTGGGGAGACACGATATATAAACAGAAAGGCAAACACAAAGCAGCCTCTGATGCATGTTGAACCTGTAGCTACAATAAATTCACGTGCAGGAGGGGTCAGGTTGGGCTACAGTGGCTGAGGTGGGTTTCACTGCGGAGGGAGGATAAAAGAAGTTCTACTGATTACCTACCATAGCTTGAGTCATTTTTATGGTGGTTATATCAGTGGTTTGATGGGGATGTAGAAACATGGGGTGAGGAGGGTGAAGTCCTCATTTTCTAGGATAAGAAATGTAATGCATGCTAATATTAAACTTTTTCTTGCTCATTCAATAATGGGAGGAAACATCCAGTGAAGGCTTAGTCTTGTCTGATACCGTCTTACGTTTTCTTATTGTGCTCCATGTATAAAAAAATGCTGCTTAGCTCTTTGGACCAGAACTGTACTTTCATGTCAGTCAATCACTATTAGGAAAAATACGATGCGACTATATGAATGAGCATTCCATATCTCCACTTTCAGTAATGAGAGACAAATACTATTCCTCCCTCAGCTAGGGCTAGGCAAAACCTTGTGAGAGGTTCATATTCTTAGATATAAAATTGTTAAAGTTTAACCCTTGTCTTTTCAAAATTGTTACTTGTGTTTTTACATCACAAAACAAGTTTGGTAGTTTTTGGATTCTGTCCCTGTAGTCGTGGCACTGTTAGGACAGGCCAGAGGAAGCTGTTGTAAGACAGGAAGCTGCCCGACTGCACCAGGAGAGCTTGAGAAAGCAGTTCATCCTTTGGTGCATTGTGCTTCCTGTAAAGGGTTCCACAGAGGCTCCCTTAGCTTAGAAAGTTACTGGGTTTTGACCCCAGTGAGACAGAGCACCACCCGTCTGGTTGACGAGTCTTAAGTTCTGACAGCAAGGGGACCAAGGTAACTGTGGGTCCAGCCATCACAGGTAGTAAGCCCCTCACCCCGTGGTGGTGTGTGTAATGTGCTGATCAGTCACTCTCGGGAGCCCTTCAATTTTGTGAAATTCAGTGTAGCAGCCATGCTCACGCCATCATCCAGCAGCCACCAACTCAAGGCTGGTGTCAGCCCCTGACGATGGACATTTATATTCATCCTGAATGTAACTTTATCAACGTCACTTGTGCGCCCCTGTGTTATCACAGGAGTGATTCATGTCCCCAGACAACGCAGCCTGGTTTGGCGTTCAGCCTTTGTTCTGACCCCAGACATTGCTCTCTCTGGTGCAGAACGCCACCCTGGTTCCCAAGGGCCAAGCAGCTACATGTTTGTATCGCTGTCACTGTTTGTCTCACTCCTGCTACGTGTATGGCGTGTGTCTGTATCAGTCTGCTTCTGTTCACTTTCTCATTTGTAGAGAACACTGAAAACCACTCTGAAACACCGGCAGCTCCTGCTCCACCTCCTTCAACTCTTCTTAAGCCTAAACCCAAACCTAAGCCCCCCAAAACACCTGTGCCTCCAAAAGGGGCTGCTGCTGGGGCCAGCCCCAAGGGTGACGAAGTGCCTCCTATTAAAAAAAATACCAAGGCTTCTGGTAAACAGGCCCCCATCCCTCCACCCAAGCCAACAAGCCGAAACACGACCCGAGAGGCTGGTAAGTATGCCCCCAGTGGGGTTGAGTTCAGGGTGCACGGCTCTGGGGTGGGGCTGATTTGGATGGTAGCCTTTAGATTGTCTGGTGTCTTAGGGTGGAACACCAGTGCGTTTAGCTTTGACACCAAGAATGCCCAGGAGATTCCTTTGTTGTTATCTCCATCAAAAGAAAGTTGACCAGTTGATTAGTTGACCTCATTAGATTGGGGGTGAATAGACCTCTTTCATCCTGAGTAGCCACTTACCTGCACGAGGACCTTCAGAAAGATACAGGAAAGCAGTGTGCCTGGTGAATGGCGATAATCTGATATGATATTATTTAGACATCAACTGGCCTTCTGCCTGTTTGAGTTTATGGGTAGATTTTTGGCTTGGGTTTTCTTTCAGAATGTCTTAGGTTTGCACATAAAAATGTGACACTGCATCTTTGACATAGTTGCTGTATTGTATTGTCTTAAATATGTCCACATACCTAGTCATTTATCTATTCATAAACGACAAAGGTTGGGTCAGCCCACCACTCTCTATTGAGTCATTCCTATTTCAGCAGAGTTGAAAGTTACATGCTCAGAGCTTCCTCTGCCCCAAACAAAGGACTTTAATCGGTTAGAAGGAAAGCATCCTACTGTGTGGTTACAAGCCACTATTGCAGTTCACCAGGGCAGTGGTTGGCAAACTGCGGCTCGCGAGCCACAGTTTACCAACCACTGCACCAGGGGATGTTTTGGTGATCTACAGCATCTGCAAGTGATATGTATCCAGCTCTCCTTTCACATTAGATATGCTTAACCCAACGGGAGCGCCCATCTTCCAGTGAAGTGGCATGAGGAAGCCCACCATGCCACCCAGTTTTTATGAGACATTAATCAAAATACACATGCTGGGTGGCTTTTTGCCATTAACACGTGCATAAAAGTCCTGTCTTTTAGCAAACCTTATTTTCCCTAAAATCAGCAGCAACGTTCTTGCAATCAGCTACCATGATTTGCCTTGTTGTTGATCTTTTTCCCTTTGTAATTCATAATGCTCAAGTTTGGAGAATGGCTTAGTTGATAGTATGACAGATCTCTGAATGTAGGTAGATGTCTCCTTCCTTGTGTCCCTCTCTTCGGCCTTTGACCTTGAGTGCTGGGTCTCTTCTAATGAGGGCTAAATGAAATGTCTCAGAATGCCCTGCCAACGATGCATTCAGGCCATTTCCTGAGGGACCAGCTGCCCTCACGTGTCAGCATCCATTCTTGTTGGCATCTGTATTTTCCTGACTGCCTAGCACACCGTAGGATCAGTCTGATGTGATACAGGCTCTGATCCACTTCTTCAAGAAAAGCTCCAAACTGGAGGCCAGTCCTTGAGAATTAAGACCTGCCTCACACATCCTTCCTTTTCCTCATACCCCACATGGTAGCGGCTCGCTATGGGTTCGGCTTACACTCCGTCTTCCATCTCTCAGAAGAAAGCTGATTAATGCCAGGGCAGGGGACAGCTTCCATGAAAGATTTTTGAGTTATTTCCAGATATTTTATAACTTGAAGGTTTATTTACAGACTCATGATGTTCCTAAGAGAATAGTACAGTCATGTTATCCATTATATTTAAAGAGGCCCGACTGGTCCACAGTGTATATAAAAATGTTGCTGTTCACGGGGCTGCCACAGAGAAACGGTTGCATTGAAGTATACTATCAAGTCCGTCATAAAAGGATCCTTTTGTCAAATATTGATAACACTCCATCAGAGTCCAGCTGATATTCCATTTGTAACCACTTAGAACTGTCTACATGGTAATGTTTCACTTGAATAACGTAGACCTTTTAGAAAGTTACTTCAAATGCTCTTCTTGATGTTCAGTCAGATGTTTTTAGCTCTCAAGGAAAGCTATCGGTTAAGATTCTATTTCTATTACCTAATCAGTATACACCTCCAGGTGACCAGATAGCTGTTTGGCACAGTGAGCTACATTGCCCATGAAATAAGGCAAAATCTCCTATCTTGTGTTCTTTCTCATACAGTGTCATGCACTTTGATAACACCAAAAGCAGTTAACTGGGAGAGGTGGCATTTCTTTTTGGTCCTGGCCTTCACTCCAGGTGACTTAAGCAACATGGTTGATTTCAGCAAAGTCCTGTTCGAATTGCTACGTGGAAGGGATTATGTTCGATTTACCTAAGAAAGTAATTGAACATGTTTAGACATCAAATCCTTACCATATTTGTTGTGAAAAATATATTTAGAATGGACTTAGATTGCAGGAGTTTGCTTAATTTGTTTGTCTTAGAAACAAGTGAAGATTGCTAACTTCAAAAAAGTAGAATTAACCACAGCTGGCTGGCTGCAGGCAAACTGTCCCATGAACCAGTCTATCAAGAGAGAACTAACCATGAAAAAAAAAATAGTATTGACAGGCCAGACTTAGAGGAGGAGAATACTAGTTATTGTGTATATCTAAAATAATAAAGCCCCAAGCTATGGAGACTTCTTGGAAGCCTGGATCTTGTCACTATGTGAGACTGGCTTCTTGTAGTATATCAGAATTGGTGAAGTCTTCCATCTCATTGTCTATTCCTTTATTTGTTCTTCATCTTGGGACCCTCCCAATTGACTTAACCAGAGGTAAGTTACAATAACATCTGTGTGCAATTCAGATTGGCTTCACAATACTAACCAGATATTTTCTGATAGCTCTGGGGAAGGCAGTTTAACCCCTCGTGAAAAAGAAGGGGCATACAACATTACAACAGAAAAAGCAATTAGGAAAAATGTGTAGGTCCTAGAGCTCATGAAACAAAAGTGTGTTCTCATAGGAGTCTAACTGTATTTCCTAAGATCATATAAAGGCAGGAGAGCTAACCTTTCTTTTCCTAAAAATGGTTTGGTTAAATAAAGGCAGCTCTATCCAGAAGTAGGCGAACACACCACTGACCAAGTCCCTAGAGCAGTGGTTCTCAACCTGTGGGTCGCGACCCCTTTGGCGGTCAAACGACCCTTTCACAGGGGTCGCCTAAGACCATCCTGCATAGCAGATATTTACATTACGATTCATAACAGTAGCAAAATTACAGTTATGAAGTAGCAACGAAAATAATTCTATGGTTGGGTCACAACATGAGGAACTGTATTTAAAGGGCCAGAAGGTTGAGAACCACTGCCCTAGAGGAACATAAGCAGTTGTCAGAAGATCCAATGATACTCTTTTTCTTCAAATTATTCAATGAGTACCCACTTGGACTTTTTTTGTAGAAAAGAAATGTTTCTGCCTTTGATATTTTGCAGGAGACTTGACTTTTACAGGTGGCCCTGTGCTTTTACTCTGTCCGTCACCATTGCCCATGGTGATACGGGCCAGCACGGCAGGCTTCTCACTGGGGCCGTGCGGAGAGCTGGGTTAGAGTTCATTCTCTTAGCAGTAAGATGAGAACATTTGCTTTTGGCCCAGAAAGGAGCTGCTGGTATATACCCAGGCCTCTTCTGAGTGTGGGCCACGCCATTCCCAGGAAGACACCGTAGAACCTGCATCACTTGTGGTGAGCTCAGCCTTGTGCTAAGCCCAGACAGCTGCCGGTGTCTGTCCTCTGCACATGATAGCATCCTTACTTTGGAGCATGCAGGGGCTTTTTCAGGTCACCCAAAAGACAAGGAGCTGAGGACTCCCTTTGGCTGGCCCCGGTAAAGACTAGAGGAGGGCCCTGACCGGTTTGGCTCAGTGGCTAGAGCATCGGCCTGCGGACTGAAGGGTCCCAGGTTCTATTCCGGTGAAGGGCATGTACCTTGGTTGCAGGCACATTCCCAGTAAGGGGCGTGCAGGAGGCAGCTGATCGATGTTTCTTTCTCATTGATGTTTCTAACTCTCTATCCGTCTCCTTTCCTCTCTGTAAAAATTCAATAAAACATATTTTTTAAAAGAAGACTAGAGGAGGGAGAAACAAAGGACCCTTATCTCTTTGGGTTTGCCTCAAACATCACTCCCTCTTTGATTGGAGGCAGGGAGGGGGCAGAAAACAAAACCATTATCATTTTCTTTTAGTCATTTGTTTTTCAATACATTTAAAATTTTTTAAGGGGATGTTGTCAATGACAATTGCAGCCTGGTTAGCTCGTTTGAAAAGTGCTGTCTCCTCTGACTTTTGATGCAAAATCTCTCTATTTTAGCTGGTTCCTCTCATTCCAAAAAGACTACGGGCTCCAAAGCATCAGCGTCACCATCTACTTCTTCTTCGTCTTTTCTCAAAACTTCAAAGGAGACAGTTTCTAGCAAAACTGGGACGGTGGGAACCACAAAGGGCAAGAAAAAAACTGGCAAGCGGCCCACGCCTCGGCCATCCTCAGATGCAACCACTGCTGGTACGTCCGACCTTAAAGGAAAGCCATCGGAGGCCAAGGTGGAGAGTCTCAAAACTGAGCCAGCAGGCCCTGAGACCGAGGAGCTGAGCACAGGCAAACCCAAGTCTGCGGTCCCTCCACCGCCTATAACCCCTCCCCCTCCTCCCCCGGACTCCCATCTTGTTCTGGAGGAACAGTGCGTTTTTGCTGCAGACACTCCTATTGTCCTGGTCAGCGATGGAGACGACGTGCCCGTCCCTACCTTAGACACGAGTCAGCTTCTCTGGACTGAAGAGCCGAAAAACACAACCACTGTCCACTCAGGCACTGGCTTCAGTGTTAGCAGAGAAAATGCAAAATGGTGAGTCGGGTCCCCAACCCCATATTCCCTCTGCGTTCCCCGAAGCTGAGTACTTAAGATCACTAAACCATTCTACTGGAAACGAGGGAACCTACTTTGTTTTCTTATATAATTTAATCTAGTGACTGTTAGACCCCCACATGTCATCCAGCCACTGGTTCTGCATAGCCCTGTCCCAGGAAGGCCACGGGCTGGGCACAGTGACATGGGCCTTTCAAGTACATTTAGAGCTGCCTCATCACTCCTCAGCAGTCCTTTCTTTGCCCTAAGCTGTTCCCTTCTCTTTCCTTGCAGTGGTTAAGTCTTTACCACTTGTCTAGTTATTTAGCCGTCTCCTTCTCTAGGAAAATAAAAGCCATCAGGAAAGAACTCCGTCAAATTCCAACTCCTTTTCCTTCAACATCAGAGCAGCTCTGCTTCTTGCTTCTTTAACTCCCCACCCAACTAAATGTTATCGCCTCCGTGGAGCCTTTCGGTGCTCATCCAGACAGATTTGGTTATTGCATCTACTCTGACAGTGTTTTTTCCTAACTGGGGCAGAATTAACCAACACATGTCTTATTGACCTTAGTATCCCAGCAACCAGTGCAAAAGCTGGTATGCCAAAGCCAGGAACCTGGAATTCATCCTAGGGTCCTCCTCCTTCTCCTCTGTTCACTGCATTATTCACAGAGTCCTGTACATGTTCTACTTAAAGGTATATGAGCCACATTTTTGTCCTGACACACAGGCTGCCAGATTATAGTGGACACCAATTCTGTCTAGGGAAGGCTTAGACCTCGTAAATCCAGCCTCTTTTCTATTGTTTTAAGAATAAAACCAAATTCACTCTTCAAATCACTTAATTTAATATTTCCTTTTTCAAAAAAATCTTAATCATGTTTTAAAACACTGACTTGAATCAGTAGGCTAAAATATTAACTTGATTCAATTACTGATAATAACCTTCATTGATTGAATACCTATTACTGTCAGGAACCGTCAGTTATTTAATTTACATAAGCTTCTCTGAAATATTTCTGTTTAATAGGTGAGAAAACTGACACTGAGAGAAGTAAAATAGTTTTCCAAGATTATCCAGGTAGTCAGTGGCAGAGCTGGGTGTAGGCCCAGGATTGCACAACACATTCCATACCCTAAGTAATTTTATAAGTTTCCAAAGTAGTTGCTTCCACTTCTCCTGCTTTTTTTTATGTGTTCATTATTGATTTTTGTGTTGTTTTTTTTAAAATATATTTTATTGATTTTTTTAGAGAGGAAGGGAGAGGGATAGAGAGTTAGAAACATCAATGATGAGAGACAATCATTGATTGGCTGCCTCTTGTACGCCCCCTACTGGGGACTGAGCCCGCAAACCGGGCATGTGCCCTTAACCAGAATCAAACCCAGGACCCTTCAGTCTGCAGGCCGATGCTCTATCCACTGAGCCAAACCGGCCAGGGCTTTTTTGTTTGTTTGTTTGTTTTGTTCTTTTTTGTTTTATCATCTTGAGCACCATCATTCAAAGGAAAGCCAAGGAATGATAAATAAAGGTTAAATTGCAAATTACTTTCTTTGTTTGACCTGCTAATAAATGCTGTGGGAACAGAAGATGTTGAGATGAGTGGTTATGGTATCCCTAATACTTCCAGCACTTAGCAAATGTCTTTATTTATAGTGAGTGTTTTTGCAGCATCAATTCCAACCTTTAGACCTACACAGTCCTTCTTTCAGCATGTGTTTTCGCTTGCCTTCTGTGTGCTGGGCAGTGTACCAAGCACCAAAGATACAAAAGTGAGCAAGACATGATAATTAATTCTACTTCTTACCAAAATGATATCCAACATGGCCAGGAAGTTTAAGATAGGCCTGTACTTAGGGAAATAGATTGAGTATATGCATTTATTTTCCATACAAGGTGCAACCTATAAAGTGATTCCGTAAGTGGTCTTCAGGCTGAGAGGGCCCGTATCCAAAGGTGATCTGACTGTCCAGCTCACTTCCACAAACACTTAGGGAGGACACTGTGCTGTGCGAAGCGCCATGCTGCATGCTGGGGGCGATGTCAGCCTTCAGCCAAGAACTCGCAGGACTGTCAGACGAGAGCGCTGAGCATCTGCTCTCCATTTCCACGGGGACTGTGATCAGACAAAGTGAGCTTAGGACATAATGAGCCATCGGGTTTGCATAATAGGTTTTCCTGTCACTCAGGGCAACTACCCTGCTTTCCTAGAAGAGAGCAGAGAGATTTTTCTTCTTCCTATATTCTTCAAAATAACGTTAAATTATAGCTCATCCCGCAGGGATGGTTTGCGTTTGCTCTCGAGTTAATGAGCCTGAAATAAGTAGTCTCCCAAATTTCCTTCCAGATTCTTTCTTCTGTTTTTAAGCGGATATTGGAATTTGAATTTCTGGCTCTTAGTCACTTGCTTTACTTAGAACTCTCCCCCAGTTATGTTTAGTCAACGAATGTGTGAAATCCTGTCGTCTTATGAAGGGGCTTCTGTTTGGAATACAAATATCAGAACTTTAAAGAATTCAAGTGGCCATGTGTAAAAATACCTACCTCTGTTCACACACTGCAGGGTGGTAACTATTTGGTAGATTTCCCTTCATTGGCAGCTTCGCCAGTACCGTGTATGTCTGGTATAACTGAAGGCAGAAACTAATAAGCCCATCTGCAGCCCACATTCAAAAGGGACTTGAATGTGTTTAGTCCATTTCCACAAATATTCACTGAGTGCACTGTATTATCTAATGTGCCCAGGAGCCTCTGAGAAATATAAAAGCCAAATCATGAGTTGACTGATGTAAAATTGGAGTATAATATTTAACATTAAATGTAAACAATAATATAACTTATAATACTAAGTGTAAATAAAATATCATATAGCATAACATTTAATAGGTAGACCAGGAGACTGAAGTCTGGGTTCTAGACTGGACTTGCTTCCATGGTTGGGCAATTCACTCATGGCTCTCCTGGGTTCCATAAACTATAAATTATCTGCCCTCCGTATGCTATAGAACAGTTGTAAGTTATAAATGTATGCAGAAGTCTTTGAAAACTATAAAACATTGTAAAATACAAGGGAGGTTAAAATAATAATCGATAACATAAATTAATGAATGAACAAATGCCAGGGCTTAATCTTGAAGTATCTTTTGTTTTGCTCTTCAGATTGCTTTATTAATTGGCAAATCTTTTAAATGGGTTGTGGTCACCCACAGTCGCAAACAAGAATGGCCTCCAGTGGCAATCAACTAGGAATCCAGACTATGGAAAAGCTTACCCATAAAATAGATCTTCTCTCATTTAAAATGAGATTTCACACCGTGGAAATAGTATGGTGGTTCCTCAAAAGATTAAACATAGAGTTGCCATGCGGGCCTGTAATTCTTCTTCTGTATATGTTGCCAAGAGAATTGAAAGCAAGTACTCAAACGATACTTGTACACCGAGGTTCACAGCAGCATTATTCACAATAACCAAAAGGTAAAGACAACCCAAATGTTTGTCAGATGATGAATGGATAAGCAAAATGTGGCATATACATACAATGGAATATGATTCAACCTTAAAAAAGGAAGGAAATTTTGACATATGCTACCAAATGGATAAACCTTAAAGACATACTAACTGAAGTAGGTCAGACACAAAAGGACAGATGTATAATTTCAATTATATGAAACACCTAGAATAGTAAATTTCATAAAGATGGGAAGTAGAATGGTAGCTGCCAGGGCTGAGGGGGACAGTAGGATGTTATTATTTAATGGCTACAGAGTTTCCGTTTGGGAAGATGAAAAAGTTCTGGAGATAGCTGGTGGTGCTGGTTTTACACAATGTGAATATACTTAATGCATCTGAACTGTGCACTTAAAAATGGGTAAAATGTTAAATTTTATGCCATGTACATTTTTTTCTTTATTGATTAAGGTATTTATCCCCCCATTCCCCCCACTCATGCCCTCACTCCCCTGTTGTCTGTGTCCACTGGTTAGGTCTATATGCTTGCATATAAGTCCTTTGGTTGATCTCTTATTCAACTCTCAGGTTTCAGCTTAGGCATTAGTTCTTCCATGAAATTCCCCTGACCGCCCCAGGTCTGGGTTAAACACACGTCTTCTATAACATTTTATCATTC